ATACAGGCTGAGGCCCTGTGGACAGAAAAGGCAAACCAGAGTAGGTATCTATCCCGAGAGGGGACGCTGGCTCTTCCAGGCTGGAAGGGTCCCAATACAGTCAATCTGGCACCAAGTGGATGACTGGTATTCTCAAGAAACAGTCTCTGTTGCTGGCAGGTTGGACATCAGAGGCAGCAGCAGCTAAAGCGTCCATGGTAAGGGGGAGTCCTTCCTGGTAGGCTCATGTATGACCTCCATCTCTGCCACCAAGGCCACTAAATTCATGTGCCCCTTGTCCCAGATCTGGGATGGCTGATGAGAAAGGCAGGCTGACATCGACTGGCTGAGTCCTGTTGACCACCGGGTTTTCAGTGCCTCTTCCACGGCTCAGTGCCCATTCTCATAAGGTCATCCACATATCTCTACCCTAGACCTCCATGTCTCTTATCTTCCAGTCCTTTCCCTCCTAGGCTTTTGCCCAGATGGCCAGGCTGTTGGCCATGGTCCAGAAATCTACAAATATCCCTACCTCAGGCCACTTTTCCTTTGACACAAAACAGATGACCAGCTTCACCACTCATAGCTCTGTCCTTTGGAAAGTCTTTCCCTCTCTACAGATTTTTAAGACTGTTCCCGCGTGTGGCTGTAATGCAGCCTCCATCCGTTTTCAGCTTCCTCCACATACTGAGCCTGCCCATCCATAAACCAAGTACAAGCTTTTCTTCCTCCTTTAGCTGGGTGTATGGAATCCCAATCTTCCCATAGGTGATAGCTCAGGAAGAGGTGCTAGTGCAACCTTGCCGGGGGACATGGGGATACAGACAACCTATTCTTGCAGCTTATTTATGCCCTCTGGTTCTGTTCAGCTTATCCAGGATACACTGTGTCCATCTTACAATAGACTGCTTCTGGGTCCGTCTGACTTTGTCTTGGTAGGTTCAACAGGACTCAGCTCATAATGGGAAATTCTAGAAGAATGGTCACTTGGTGTCCTATGGTCGTGTTTCTTTTCTACCAAGGTCAAGTAACTTACCAGGAACTGTTTTTCAAAAGATATATAATTCTCTTCTGCAGATGATCTGTCCTTGCTTCAGCTCCCCATAGACCTGTGTTCTTCTTCTGAGGCTTGCCGTAATCTTTATATTGTATCTTTTCTCGCCACTGACACCAAACACCAACACCAAAGGATCTGCCAGATCATATGGCCCAAGGGGCAGGTCTGCTTGCACCACAGCCTGGGCCTTCTGCAAAACTCGCTGCTCTGAGCCCTCTCAGAGCTGGCAACCTTCCTCCCATGTCACTCCACACATAGGTTGGCACAGTTCCTAAGTGTGATTTATGTTGCTTCCAGAACCCAAGAGGCCTACCAGGTGCTCTCTTCCTTTTTAGTATTAGGGGCCTCAAGACTCAGCAGTTGGCCTTTTCCTTTGGAGGGGATGTCCTGGACAGTGCGGGACCTTGATGAGAACACGGCAGCAGGTGGGAAGTCGCAGCAGCTGGAGGCCGTCTGCGGAGCACCCTCCTGGCTGCAGGTCCTCTTTAGGAGAGGTCTGAGCAGTGCACCTCCATGGCTACCCCAGCAGGGGTGTTCCTGCTTCTCAATAAGCCCGACAAAATGCTTGCCACAGGAGAGCAGTAAGTGACATGCAAGAGATGACAAAAATGCGAGAGTGCGTTTAAGGAAAGGAAGAGGAATTTCAGCTTTATCTGGAATGCAATCAGTATCTGAAGAATCCACCAAGGCTTTTGAGGTGTGTGTGCTGAGGTGACCTGTGGATTGGGGCTGCAACCCTTGGCAAGGACAAACATTCCCCTCCATCAATCAGTCAGAGCAAAGCCTCTTCTATTATTGGATATTGTTTCATAGCCCATTGCAGAGCTCTTGGAACCATTCAGTCCCCAGTTATAATTTACATTTCTTTTACTGCCTGATAATTACTTTCTTTTTTCTCTCCTTCAGTGATCAGTCATTTAGCAAAGACTTAGTCCTTAGTAGTGTTTTCAGCAATATTGTGCCTCCCTTCTTTGTTCAACTTCTTTATGAAAAGGGTATCTCATCAGTTTTCACAACTGTTTCTTTTTTGGAGGAAGATTAGCCCTGAGCTAACATCCGCCGCCTATCCTCTTCTTTTTGCTGAGGAAGACTGGCCCTGAGCCAACATGTATGCCCATCTTCCTGTACTTTATATGCAGGATGCCTGCCACAGCATGGCTTGATAAATGGTGCGCAGGTCCACACTTGGGATCCAAACCATGAACCCCGGGCCGCCGAAGTGGAGCACGCAAACCTAATGGCTAAGGGCCACCAGCCACCCCCAATTTTCACTTTTAATATCTTAATACTAACACTCCCAAATACGCTTTTATATTCCCTTGCCACCCCCAATTTGTGCTATTTCAAATACTGAGTTGCCTCTCAGCCCAGCTTCAGAATAAAGTATTACGATTCAATGGAGCAGGAAAGAGATGAACTCATCGTCCATCTTGTCTCCTCAGAGTCCAGGGACCTCTCTTCCCGGAGGTCTCTTCTGTTCTCACAATCAGCCATGGATTCCCCTCATTCCTTCCCTCTGTAGGATGTCTCAACTCAAGAAGATCATTCCTTTATTGACGTCTGGAAGGATGATCCTTCCACTTTATCTAAAGCTAAACAGCATGCCTGTGGTTCCCCAAAATAGTTTCGACCACAGCAGCCCACAAAATCATTCTGTCCTCTGAACTCTGATGACGCTTGGTGCTTATTTGCTACTTGTAGTTGTCTAACTTGTATTTTCGTTATTTTTCTTCATTATCTCCTGCCTCTTTAGAGATATTTTAGAGATATTTTACCCTTAAGAACAGGGTCTTAGGCTTCCTCGTCTGTGTCTCCAAACCTAACCCAGTAATCATATATACATGTACATATATGTAAACATATACACATGTGCATACATATACACTTCATAGTTTGCCTCAGGAACTAAGTCTTCAATACAGACCTGCAATCCACTCTGTGTCTTCAAGCTTACTATGTCTTTTAAGCTTCCCTCTCATCTGTCGTTACCTTTTCCATTGTTAGAACTTTCCTGAAACCCTCTGTGAGCCTCATCATTGGACACATATGCTGTCTAAGTCTACGTGGAGTTCTGCCCATCTGGAAGAGCAGGCAGAGTGCCCCAGGGGACAAGTCATGGGAAGAAACCAAAGCCCTGCCCCTGAGACTTAAATAAGGCTCAGCTGGTGTTTTTATATTGGAATTAGACTATTTCTAAATTAGACTCTGAGCCCCTAGGGCAGGATTGCCTAGTTGTATAAGACAAGCCAACAAGTATCCAGCAATTACACAAAATTCTGGTACCACGAAGCTAATGTTTTCAACACAAAACATAGCCTGAAATTAAGGAGACTTGAAAGGGATAAGAAGAAAAATACACAGGGAAAGAGACAGCCGAAGTGATGGGAGAGGAAGACAGAGAGAAGGTGAGAGATACGGGTTTTACAGAAGCCGAGGGAGATAACTGCTCCCAAGTATCAAATTTGCAGCTGCCACCAGCAGGAAAGGAACCGAAGAGATGCCACTGTATCTGTCAACTGGTAGGTCCCTAATGGCTAAACAAGCTTCACTACTCTGGGGAGGACAGAACCCAAATTGAGTAGCATCAGCATGAAGGTGGGGAAGTAAAGACTTGAATGTAATATACTCTTTCCAGGAGGTCTACAGTTTTGAGAAGAACAGATATAGAAGACCTGGGGTAATGCGGACTGTTTTTACATAGAGGGCACGTGAGCACATTCGTTGGATGGAAGAAATTAAAGCATATTCAAAAGAGAGAAGGAATTGACTCAGAACTTGGAGAGGAAAATGGACATCTTTTCCTCTGAGAGTGGGGTGGGTGGGGAGAGGAGGAAAATGAGAACCGATGGCAAGTTTTAAAGAGAGGAAAGAGAGAGCAGGTGTTCCCATGGGTTAACTCTTTTCCTCCATGAGGGAGAAAACAAAGCCTTTACTCAGTAGGAAAGAACTGGGGCTGAGAGGGGCTGGCAGACAGTGGCGGGCACCTGGAAGTGGCCCGAGAAGAGATCTGCTGTGCAATGTGGAGGGACTGACCTGAGGCTTGCCACCCACAGTTTGCAATGGCAACTGGTAAATGATATAATTATCTCCAGAAGGGGCTTCCTCGGAGCAGGCACAAGAAATGGTGGCTTAGGATTGGGGACTAAGCGGGCAGATGCATTGGGAGTTCACTGTGGAAAGCACAGTGTAAAGCAAATGACTCAGTAGGGCCTTCAGGCAGGGTAGGGAAGGGCCAGGAGGACATGGAGGTCATCAAAGGAGTGGACACTCTCATATAAGAGTCAACGGTTTGTTCAGTGAGTGTGAAAAAGCAGAGAGTGCTAACAAAGAGTGGGATTGTTAAGTTCCAGTTCTCAGCGTTGGCCTATGTCTGGGTCAAAATAAGGTCCAGGCTGTGTCTGAAGACCTTAAGATAAAAGTCATAATGCTGAGAAAGGCAATGGACTGTGAGGCCAGGATGAAGCTGCCCCGGACAACGGCAGTGAACAGCGTGTGGGGGAAGAGCAGATAAGCCATATTCCTGGATGAACACGGGGAATGACTTAGAGAAGATGGCAACAAGAGTGGGCCACCGATGGCATGAGCAGTGCAAGTCTCAAAAGGAGGCACTGCTGAATAATGGCATCAAAGAGAGAAGAACATCGAGGATTATTTACTTGTCAACTAATTTATTTTTAATTCTTGACCTGAATTACCAACTGCCTACTGAACGTCTCCTCTGGGATATATTTCTGGATCGTCTTTTCCTAAACGAACCTATCTTCCCAACCTCTGTAATTTACACTTCTTCCTCCATTTCTTTAATCCCAGACAGTAGCATCATCATTCATCTGGACACACAGTATTTGCCTTCAAAGGTTTGAAGACAACTAATTTTGGAATTCTCATCCTCTTCTGACTTCATGCGGTCTATAGAACTTGTGACCACACGTCTAAACTTTTGTATTTATTATGGACAAATTTCTTAACCTTTTATGAATGCTTTATTACAAATGTGCTAGTAATACTCATTTTGACTTACATAATAAATCAAGTAATTTTAATTGTATGTGCTTTTTTTTTACACACTTTGAGTCAATACACACCTACAGATTAGCTTTGTGTCATTTGTAATTTTTTATTAAAAATTCTCAATAATTAATTCTAATAAAAAATAAAATGAAGTCACTCATAAATTTTTAAATACACTTTCGCGTAAAAAAAAAGATTAAATTCTAAGCAAAGCATCCTCGCCAACATGTTCTTACTAGACATTTACAGTCAGAATGGCTTACTTTTTGTTAGAGTGTTCTAGAATGGAAATCTACAATAGTTGGGTTTTGAGTGTGGAGGAAAACAAACTGCTAGAGGGCCTGTTGGCCCCTGGGCTTTAAAGGCCTCCCCCACCCCACCTGTCCAACCAACTTTCACATTCTCTCCTTACTAATCCCTCCTTAAAGCTAAATTCAACTCCCCCTTATCCAGGGCAAAGGTTCGGAGCGAGAGGGAAAATAAGGACATTACTAACCCTACCTAGTAAACTGCAGCATTATTCCCCTGCCTACGATCCGCTCTGCCATCCTTCTCAGCGCCCACCTCCTCCTCGTTCTCTTTCCCAGTCTTCTCCAACCATGACCATGGAACCTGAACACGACATTAATGAACACACTAGTGAGAGTGGGGAAACATTCCATTGTGATGGCCACAGGTTCATGGAAGCAGGCACTGGAGGGTGACTTTCCCAGAAATTGTTCAGTGAGCTACCGAAAATTCAATCCTAACTTTCTTCCATGAAGAGAGTCAATGGCAGAATCAGATTAGGACTGATTAGTTGAAATTTAACCACGGTATCTGGTAGTAGAGTCTCTCTTTTCATGGATGTTCCTTCCAAGGAAGATATCTACTAGGGATAGCAAAAGGAAAAGATTAAGAGATAAATGGGCATACCTTTCATCCTCCCCAAATTTCCACATTCTACTCAGATGCGTATGCACCACCACCCTTTGGCCAACCTCCACAGATGGACTACACATCCATCACAGAGGCCAGAACCGTGCTCTGTGCTGCACATTCCAGAAAATCCATAATTTACTTGAAAGCCAAATAGGAAAAGTAAAAAAATTAAACGTTTCCACCATGGTTGCAAAGAAAAACTTAGCCCTTAAACGTTCATATATGGATCCTAACACATACGGGTGGGTCCAAAGAAAGGCAAAGGGATAGAGGTTATTCTGTGAAGAAAGCCAGTTTAAAAAGAGAAGAAAATATGTTGACTTGAGCAACCATGCTGTTTCTCATAACAAACAGAACCCCCAAAGAGATGGAAATGTGTCTATCTTTGCTAGCTCCTACTCCTGGTGTATCCCATAACAGAAAAATGGCATTGCAGTTCAGCGGCAGAATCCTGGGCCCTCGTTTTCCCAGTGGCCTAAATCAATCCTCAGTCCAGGACAAGGTGCTGAGCAAGATGCATAATTATTTCAGGCCACTAGGGTAAGTACTATTCCTGGCAACTCGGCGGGCAGCGCCATGGATGAGGGTTTCTGATTCTCTTTGGTGATTTGGTTCTGTGGAAACTGAGATTTTTCCTTCAGTATTTCAGCCAGATAAGCAGGAGAGGCCAGCTCCGGTCCTGAGATTGAGCCAATCGAGGTCAATTTTAGTTCCTTTTCTGTGCAGTTTAGTGTACTTTTCCCCCTGCTGCCTTCCCTGACACCTGTCCTTATATTTTTATCTGATTATCAAATACCTAGTGAGAGAACCTTTGGCAGCCTCTGGTGTTCACTCAGTCATCCAAAAGTCTGTCCGCCTACAGAATACCATCAATACTCCGTGAAGCAATGTCCTTGAAAGGCCAACCTAAGACCCCTTGCTATGAACCACAGAGAAGTGTCTCCCACAGGTATTTCGAGGGTGACGTGGACACCAATGCCTGCCTTCACTAGAGGCACAGCTTCAACTTGCCTATTAACAAATCTAATTCTTGGCTTTGTATTGCACCCACAATATACTCAGTTATTAGCTAAGATAGAAAGGGAAAAGCAGATCTCATCACTTCCCTTTGGAAGATGGTGAAATAGAGGTTTAAAAGTTTAAAAGAGTTGTCTAAAGCGAATTCAACACAGCAGTGTTGTCGCTGGAAACTAGATCAGCTGACACCTGTCCCTGGTTTTGTAGGTCACTGACTCTTTGTAAGTTTAGAGCTGCATTTTACTTACCATATTCCTCCTTGAAAGCTTCTATTTAGTCTCTTAAACTGTGGATACCAGTGTCTCCACACTTATACAACATACAAAGACGGAGCCGTCTGCCTGTTGGGTACACAGCTCCAGGCTGAAGAATTTCTAAGGTCGTCAGAACAATTGAGGTCCTGGGGGAGAAGGTTCTGATGTAAAAGGAAATATCCTACAGCCCTGCAAAGACATTAAAAATATCTTCCTCACTATTACAAATAAAAAAACTATCCAACTGATTCTGTGCTTTTTCAAACCGCATTGCTCTCCCCCCATATCTTCATTAAATAAATGCAAACACATGTGCTTTGAAACGGGTAGGTGTAAAAGAACATTCTGCACAATTATATCTAGGCTGCTGCAGATTTATATCACATGCATACATATATCTGGGGGATATTAACTCATGATGACAGCTGAGCATGATAAATGCAACACTACACAAGTTGGGATGCCAAAAAAATGCAACTACAAACCCCATGCAGACAAACACGCACACAGGAGTTTTCCTTCAGTATCCACGTGGCCGCAATTACAGGCACTTCCCCACATCGATAAACCCCAAACACACACACAGGAGGCTCCGCCGCCCGCGAGCTGCCCCCACACCTGCAGCCGCGCCTCGGTGTGCAGGCAGGGATTCTCGCGCGTCCCTGGCTACCCTCGCCCTCCCACCAGCATGCCTCTGCGCGAGCGCGCGCGACAGCCGGTCCCCGCGCTCGCCGCCCGCCCGGGAAGCCGCGGTGCCCGGGGCTGGGGGCAGGGCCCGCTGGGGCGGGCGCGCCGCGGGGCCGGGCCTCGGCGACCGGGGAGGGGACGAGGGGCGGGCGCGGGGCGGCGCCCGGCTCACGTGGGCGGGCGGGAGCAGCTGAAGGTCCTCTCCGGAGCCTGGGCTGTCCTCTCGCGCGCGGCGCTGGCCGGGGCGGCGGCGAAGGAGGAGGAGGAGGCGGAGGAGGAGGAAGGCGGCGGTGGCGGCGGCGACAGAAGAGGGGAGGACGGGGGCGGCGTCGGACTGGAGCCGAGCGGCGGCGCGAGCTGCCCGGGGCGCTGTCGTGAGCTCGCCCGCCGGGCCCCCACCCCAGAGCTACACCCTGCCGTGCCCAGCTCTGCCCGCGTCCGTGCCCCCGCGGGGAGCGCGCCGGGGCTGCCCCCCGAATGACGGGCGGAAGGTTCGACTTCGACGATGGCGGCACCTACTGCGGCGGCTGGGAGGAGGGCAAGGCGCACGGGCATGGCATCTGCACGGGGCCCAAGGGCCAGGGCGAGTACTCCGGCTCCTGGTCGCACGGCTTCGAGGTGGTCGGAGGCTACACCTGGCCCAGCGGCAACACCTACCAGGGCTACTGGGCGCAGGGCAAGCGGCACGGGCTGGGGGTGGAGACGAAGGGCAAGTGGATGTACCGGGGGGAGTGGTCACATGGTTTCAAGGGGCGCTACGGGGTCCGGCAGAGCCTGTGCACCCCCGCTCGCTACGAGGGTACCTGGAGTAACGGGCTGCAGGACGGGTACGGCGTGGAGACCTACGGGGACGGAGGTGAGCGGCGTCGCAGGCGGCTCGGCTGCTCCGTGAGCTGGTGCGGTGGGCTTTGCCCAGGCTGCGGGGAAGCGGGGAGGACGCGAGGCGCACGTGTCCGGAAACCCGCCAAAACACCTGGGGCAGCCTCCCATCCACCTCCCCGCGCCAGCCCTCTCGGAGAGGGTGCGTTGGGACGCCACTGGTGCGCGGGGGTTTGATCTGACCTGGTTCTTGGAGCGGGCGGTGTCCACACCGGGGGAGCAAAGCGTGAATATACCTGGCCGGCGCTGCACTGCCATTAGGAGGGAGCACCGCCCGGGAGGGTTGGGCTGGAGAGAGGACGCTGTCACTTGAGCCTGTCACATTACGTTCCTGATCCCTCCCTCTCCCAGCTGGGTTTGAAATCGCCACTCCCGTGGAGTTAGAGCGAACGCCCTGGGCTTGTGAGGCTGGCGGTCGGTGCTGACTGCTCCCCGGATTGGTTTCACGTGGAGTCGTATTTCACTTCTGGTCCTCTAGTAGCCTAAAGATAGAAGCCAGAACCCCATAACCAGGATGTTGGGGAATTGTACCCTATTTGGGGTGCATTTGGAAACGCCTTAGTTATGGGAGCGGGGAGGTCACCTGATACAGGTGGGGTCCAGAGGGTGTGGGTTTTTCTTCCTAGTTTTCATTCGGTTCCTTAAAGTATCGGTTTGCGAGCAAAAGAATGGTAGTCATTGTGGACCTGGAGATCTTTGGACAAATTACTAGGAAAACATTTTAGAAATGAACAATGAAGTCTACGTTTTAAAAAATACAATTGAAGGGTATATTTGTATAGTTGCTAAGTTAGCAGCTACTTTACTCCTAAGAATGGCAGTACCGGGTCACCGATTTGCACTAAGGTGTATGACCTATACAGTAGGCTGGCTGTGAACAAAATTCACCTTATTTGAATATTTAAGAATATTTGCAAAACCAATTGTGTATATTAAACGGCAGAGTTCCCTTCTTTTTTTTTCAGTTAGGACAAGTACACATTATTGAAATAGGTATCAAAACCTCGTGAATTTCCTTGTGTAATAAGCTGAGACGGATAAATAGCTTATCCTTTGGCAAAATACATTTTCTGATAATAAACATAATCACAGTTAATTGAAAAGGATGGTAGGAGGCGATGTCACCTTTTGGAATTATGCAGCTCAGAGTTGGAGAATATTAAACGGATCCAATTAAAAGTTTCTCCAGCCCATTGCAACCCCCAGTTAGGCCATTGCTTATATAAAAGCTTATACAATTTGTACACTTCACTTACTCAGAACACTTGGGCTGTGTTTCAAATGCAAAATGGCAGAACAGTAGGATTTGCTAAAAAGGACATCTTTTCGTCCTACAGGGTAAATAAAGGATATGGTTCTCATGGATTAAAACGGGGAAAAAAAACCTTTCTCTAATACTTTTCTATGGGCTACATGAGACTTGAGTTCCACAGTAGTTAATTAGGCCTTTTAATGTTGTGAATGGGCAAAGAGTGCCTTTGTTGACAGCCTTATAAATATGTTAGCTTGTGACTGGATTTTATTGGAGGTCCCAGGTCTACAATTCAACTAAATTCCATGCTCAAAAGTGGAATGCAAAATTTATTTTTTTAAATGGGTGCATTATTTTATAAGCTTTTTGAGAAGGCCATGGATAGTTCTCTTCAGTTTTGGAAGGTTAAAAATAAATGTCGTCTTTCAAAGTTACTACTCATTAAACAAAATCTCCTGGTTTAGAGTATTCATTATACCTAGCAATCAAATATATATATAGCACAGTAAAGGTCGTCTATGTGTTGTAGAAGCTCAAATAAGTGTCCAGGATGACTTTGGGGATAATCTGCCTTCTGTTTCAAAACGAACCTCAAAAAAATTTTTTAAAAAAACCTCAAAATTTGGCATCACCATAGGACTGTGGCTTTCTTTTTCTGCAAAAAAAAAAAAATCTAATATGCTACGAATTAGAAAGGGGAAAAAACCACTTAAAATCACTATTGGATGTCTAGTCTGTGCTAGTCAATCTTCTGCCTTCTTTCATAGGTCAATCGGTTTAATTAGAAAGTCCTTAATCATAAAATGGAAGTGTAAGTGGAAAGATACTGCTATAACTTAGCCCATACAAAGGTTTTGGCCAAAATCAGAACTATTACTTTCCCTATTCTTACTTAAGAGTTAGCTTGTTTCTTGCCTCTGTACCACCACATGTCTGTTCCGGTACACCCTGTGTCAGACCGACGGAAAATCTGATCCATGTACTTTGTGGTGACATTAAACTAGAGGAGGAAGGAAGTAGTAATTCCATGTGAGAAGTATTACTTGACCTACTTTATTGGTGATTTGTGTGTAAAGTGTTGCTGAAATAGAAACCCCCCAAATATTAATTAAGAATAAATTAGTACCATACTCATGAAATCCAAGTCTAGGTGCCCAGAATATTTTGTGCAAATTCTGATCGCTATACCTCCTTTTTTCACCTGTCACAAAACTGTTGAAAATATCTAGGAAGACACATGGTTTTGTTAATATATGCATACTTGCACATAGCCATTTGTAGCATGTAAACATAGGTTTGGCAGAGTATAGTCTAAATTTGACTAGAACTCATTCTGAACTGGACGCCTTCCACTACAAGATTGTGTAGTGAAAATGGCTATATCTAGACGATCAGCTCCCAGATGAAAAATCAGAGAACAGAATTTAAAACAAAACCCAGACAAATAATTTTTATACTTGTGCAATATGCGTCTGTATTTAAGGAATTGGGAGGAACTAATTAGAACTTTATTTGAGCAGCAGGCAGAAGTTGGAACCCACCTGCTTCATAAAGAAACAGAGGCCCCTTTTTCTAGGTTCATTGACTAAACCTATTTAAATTTCAGAGGCACTACTAACAGTTTGACTGGAAGTTGGTTTCTAGCAATTCTATGGAGGAATTCTTCCATATACTCTGACTTAACAGAATAGGATGGGAATGTGGCCAATGCCATTGTCCCACCTCCCCTACTTGACAGTTAAGCAGAGACCTAAATTTTCCAAATTATTGCTGTTGCCTTAAACCACTTAGATTTTCAAGAAATACTTTTTCAGACATTCTAAATACTAGTCTTACTTTTGGAGATACCAGTTTAAGGAAACTAGCTGTTCGTCTCCTGTCAGTGTCGAACATTTGCTAAGATAGTATGGTTGCATCTTAAAAGTGTAAATGCTTACTGATGTCAAACCATACCCATGGGAATTGTTCTGGCAAAATTAACTTGTTATTATGTAGAGAAGTCAGGATATGATTATAGCATTCCTCATTTATTTAAGCAAAATATTTTTAAAAATAAGGCCGTTTATTTTAGTGTGTGTAAGTCCGGTTGTATAACTTTTATCCTAGGACTTAAACTTTAGTTAGGCAAAACAAAAGTCAAAGTTGAAATTTCCTAATAATTCAATTTCCTTCCCTATTGAAGTGGTAGTGTTTGAGATAACTAATATTCAGCAGGATGTTTCTTAATCAGAAATGTTCTATATGACTATCTTATCTTTTGGGGTTTATTCTTTTAAGAAAGCTATGGCCCTCCACCTCCTCAGAAGTTCATAGATGTCAGCTAAAGAGTTTTCACCTACCCAGACTATGACATTCACAGTACCAGACCCACTTAGGATTTTATTGTCACCCTGCAATTGTGTATTTATATGACATAAATATATCAGAATGAACAGAAAGAGATGGTAGTCTTGAAATTAGTCAAAACTTTTGATCTTGGAGCTATTACAGTTTTAAGTGCAATGAAATAATCAATCCTTGTTAACAGAATGATATAAAACCACTAGCAGTATTGCTCAGTATTTTTCAAAAAATGTATGCCATGCAATGGAAATCTTTATGTGGCAATAGAAAATCAAAAGTGACTATAAGTTAGCTCATTATAATCAGAAACTGAAAGAGGTCAAGAGTTCATGATTTATTTTCTATGACATTGTGAATTATTATGAAGAATACAGGAGTAATTATATCTTAAAATTTCCACATAGCTTCTTTTGGGGGATACTATAATTTAAAATTTGCCTTTAATTAAAGGAAATGGCCTTGATTTAGAAAATTCCAAGTTCCCTAATTTTAACATTCAGTTCCTCCTAAGATTATTTAAAAGCTGTACCAGGGTAATTTTTAAACATCTTTGCTAATTTACTTAATAGAAAAACTTACTGAAAACAAATGCTTGATATTAGAGATTATCCTATTCCTGAAAAGGCATAATATTCATTGGAAAAGTGATCTGGTGTCAACGAAGTTTTAAGGGACACTGTCGAACATCTGAGATAAATTCTGTAATGTTAAGAGTGGAAGGTTTCCTCTGGCCATCTCTCAGTTTTTTGGTTTTTTTTTTAAAGCAAATAGTGTACTCTTTTTAGCCACTATAGCTGTTTACTATGAGGCCATCAAACACAGACAGACTATAGGAAACACAGCCATGAATGTGGAAATGTGTTCTCTTAGGAGGTAATTCTTGCCCTCAGAGTGCTTCTAGTCCACGATGTGATTCACAATACAGTAGCAGATGTTAGGGAAATCCATGAGGAGAAGGGCCAGGAAAAAAGCAGAAATCTGGCAAGTAATATGGGACAGATCTTGACTTTTTCATTTGGAAGTACAAAATGTTAACACAAACTGCCCATCTTTTCATAACGGCTCACTATATCAGGATATATATTATATTTGTCAAATCACTCTTAGCTCAAAAAGTTTCACCCAAAACTAAACAATAATCCTAAATATTAAAGTTTGTCCCTACCCTACAAAAAGGTGAATATGGCATAAAGAAAATGTAAGATAATTTGATGCCCCATGTTCACATATTCATATCACTCATAATTTTAAGGCTTTGAGCTTGTTAGAATGTGATACAGATAGACCTAGAGTTTTCGAGTTTTTCGGCTAAATTGGTAAAAATTAGAATAAAATTCACAAGTAGAACCCATTTCATCTATTGTGGTACTGCCTTCCTAAGAGGGATTTTTGATGCATTAGTTTCAGGGGAGAAAAGTTGTTTGCTAATGATCACTCTCTTTGTATTAGAAAGTAGGGGTTTTCATCCGAAACACTCGTACAAATTTTTAAATGAAAAGTAAAACTTAGCAGACTATTGGAAAACCCTCTACAATAACATAAAAGGCATAGACACAAAATGACAAGGCGGGAATTCACAAGTGGATGAAAGTAGGCCTGTAGAGTAGACTTGGCGATGTGCGGGATTGGGCCGTGCGCCCGCCTGCTCTGCGCGCGCGGGGCCCATCCCGTGCGCGCGTGGTGCTTGCAGGCTGCCGCACCCCGCCTGCCCCGACTCACGCTGTGCTCTCTTGCGGTCTCTCGAAGGTACCTACCAGGGCCAGTGGGCCGGCGGCATGCGGCACGGCTATGGCGTGCGCCAGAGCGTGCCCTATGGCATGGCCACGGTGATCCGCTCGCCGCTGCGCACCTCCCTGGCCTCGCTGCGCAGCGAGCAGAGCAACGGCAGCGTGCTCCACGACGCCGCCGCCGCCGCCGACAGCCCGGCCGGCACCCGCGGCGGCTTCGTGCTCAACTTCCACGCCGACGCCGAGCTCGCGGGCAAGAAGAAGGGCGGCCTCTTCCGACGCGGCTCCCTTCTTGGAAGCATGAAACTTCGCAAGTCCGAATCCAAGTCTTCCATCTCGAGCAAGCGCAGCTCCGTGCGCAGCGACGCGGCGATGAGCAGAATTAGCTCGAGCGATGCCAACTCCACGATCAGCTTCGGCGACGTGGATTGCGATTTTTGCCCCGTGGAAGACCACGTCGATGCCACCACCACGGAAACCTACATGGGCGAGTGGAAGAACGACAAGCGCACTGGCTTCGGCATCAGCGAGCGCTCCAACGGCATGAAGTACGAAGGCGAGTGGGCAAATAACAAGAGGCATGGATATGGCTGCACCGTGTTTCCTGACGGCTCCAAAGAAGAGGGAAAATACAAAAATAATATTCTGGTCCGTGGAATAAGGAAGCAGCTTATTCCTATCAGAAATACAAAAACTAGGGAGAAGGTGGACAGAGCAATTGAAGGTGCGCAAAGGGCAGCCGCCATGGCGAGAACCAAAGTGGAAATAGCGAATTCAAGGTATGTCCATGCAGGGTAGGGGGGTTCTGCCGGGTCGTTCAGAACAGTAGAATATCAAATATGATGTATGTCGGTCTGTTGGTGTCATTGCCAAATAGGTTCTGCAAGTGCCGGAATCAAAGGTGGAAAATGATTAAGCCCAATCCGATGAGAGTGGGCAATGAATGTACCTACTCTGATCTGAAACGTTCCATCATCAAAAAATATTGAAGGTGCATTGAGGTCCCCTTCCTCTTGTAAATTACTTCCTTAACAGTTAACGCGTTGGAGTTTGCTCTGATCCTGTGTACATTTTCCGGAGTCCAGAAAGTTACGTTAAAAAGAAAAATACCCTTGAAGTACTGCCACCGAGAGCGCTAACTGTCCTCTGTGTGCCAGAAAGAAAATACCCATCCACGTGGAAACACACCTAGTATAGGTTGAGTCCCCGTATTCTAATATTTAAGTTGGGGGTGTGTTCAACTCCCCCTATAAAATTATCTTAGTTTGTAAAATTCAGATTCTGTTTATCGATGCCTTATAGGTGAGATCGGTTTTGAGAAAGTCACCAAGATCTAGATATGGCAGAAACAGAAAGTTACACGAGAAAATCGAGCATGCATTCTGTAAACAGTAGAGCTCATCTACATGGGAAAGGCTCACAAGAATCGCCAGGTTCTATGCAGGAAAGATTACATCACTGGTGTATTAAAAGGAAAGGGGTGGGGGGAACCTGACATGGACAGATGGAAATGTCAGTGTGCCAAGGTTGGAAGAAAGTGGAGCAGGAGGGAAGGGCTGGAGCGAGGAGTGAGCTGGTGAATAACAGATTGAGAAGTGGGGTATATGGGGGCACAGATGGACTGTGTGCTTGAAGTTTTCCTGTTAATAGCAGGGTTCAGGGATTCAAGGAGAAAGATAAATTTATTGGGGATAGAGTTTTATTAGGGATGGATGTCGTGTGTTAGACCAAAAAAGAAAAAGGATGGTTATAAATGGAAAAACTTATTTTCATGCTTATGTGAGTGGGTACCGGGTGGCCACAGTTTCGTGTGACTTGAGGCATACATTTAGCATATATTACTACAAATCCTTTTCCTGACGCAGTAGTATTCTTCCATAGAAGTAAACCTCCTTTTGAAACCACAAAATACTCGTACATCTTCAGGTTTTCATTCTTAGCATTGAGTTAATGAGCCCCCCTTTTTTCGGTTGAACCATATGAAATTTCTGATATTTGAATTTTTTATGTACCAAAAAATGGCGATCGCATATGGTTCAACTTAGTACTTCCAGACTTCTAAAGTTTCTTCTTCTTTTTTTTAATGCCCCTATTTTATGGCTGTTATTTACTTAGGAGTGTCTGAAACACTAAGTGGAAAATGGAAGAGGTCTTTTTTTTCCTTATTTGTAGATATATATTAGAAGTCTCCAAGGTTTCCATTTTATCCCAAACTAATCCTATTTGAAAGTTAATATTTCTTGTTCATCGGCACAAAATTTCATGAAGGGTCTCCTCTTTTCTCTGCCAAGCGTCTTTTATTCTAGATCGTAGTTTTCTCTGATTACCAAGTGTTGCATCTACTTGCTTTTCAGTGTGCTGGTAGATAGGAGACTTGCCACGTCTAATCTTGCTGGCTTCCCCGGCCCTCAGCTAACTTTTAGAGCTAGTGATATACTTTCTGTTAGGCCCTAGCCTCTAGTTTTAAATGCACTCCTGGATCCTTCCATTTTATTTTCCCCGTACCATCGAGTGATACTCTAGAGGCAGTTTCGTCTTGGCAGATGGAAGATAAACCTGTGCAGGACCCTCTCGCAAATGACTTTCTTCCCCTTGCTTTAATTACTGACTTTTATGACTAGTTTAAATGGGAGGAATGTACATTACCAAAGGGAACCGCTTGTAACGCAAAGATGATCTCTGATAATGCTAGCATTGTAAAACTCTTACCCAAGTCCTAGCCACATTCTCTCGCTGTTGAGAGTCTTTCGGGGGTGGTATTATGTAGTTTGGGAGGACGGTAGTATACAGTTTATAATCAAGAAGTCTTTAGGTTAAGCTGTCACCGTTTTAGTTAACTTCGTGAAGATTTCACTTAGCTGTTTAAAAAACACTGAATTTATTACGCTAACTGAAATAAGCCAGCCACAAGACAAATTCTGCGTGATGCCGCTTACACGAGCTATCTCACTAAATGGTCAGAGTCACAGAAACACAGAGTTAAATGGTGGTTGCCAGGGGCTGGGAGGAGGGAGAAGTGGGAAGTTCCTGTTCAACAGGTATAAGGTTTCAGTTAAGCAAGACGACTCGGTTCCAGAGGTCTACTGTGCAACGTTGGGCCTGTCGTTAACAGGACTGTATTGTGCACTTAAGATTTTGTTAATAGGGTAGCTCCCATGTTAAGTGTTCTTACCACAGTTAAAAAAGCAATACTGTTTGGATGACAAGAGACAAAAAGTGAAAAAAGCTCCCTTAACCTTTTCTATTTTACTTACTTTGACTGTTTTAGTCCTCTTTCCAGATTCCTTGTTTTAATGGCTACTTGAGATAAAGAGTTTTGCAACTTGTCTTTGTAGAAAGTCGCTGAAGGACTGACGTGCCCCTTGTAATAGCTCTGAGTTTAGAGTTCCACATTCTTTTAAAAACCTTTTTTAAAAATAAAGAGAAAAAAAGATTCTCTTAAGACTTTGGAGCTTGCTGCCCGGAGGAAGGGCTTCTAGCTATATTACTGTTGTAAACTATGGCTCTTTATAATGCCTGAGTGTCTGCTCGGTGCTTCCTGACCCCTGTAGTAGTTGTCATTGTTAATGTTCTTGTTTTTAAAAGTATCGAAAGTTTAAGAACATGAAGTGACACCCTCCTTCTCTCCCTGCCCCAGGAATGGCCGAATAAGAACCAGAAAGTATGACTCCTGGCAGCTGCTACTGTTGAAATCATTAGTTCACTGTTAGCAACGAACGGAGCTCATCGATTAATAGTTATTGATCATTTCAGTTTGCCACCCAGATAGTGTTAATCATTGTGCTGTTGCTGTCATTTCTTATGCTGTAGAGGGTTTTGTTTAAGTCCCAGGGAAATGGATCCTCTTTTGCACCATCACTCTGTTTTATCTTGAAGCAAAGCCTCAAGCTCCGAGGGAAAATAATTGTATCCTCCAATAATGTCTCCTCGGGGAAATCGGGAGACATGGAGCCAACCATCTTTGGCCCAAAGATTCAGGAAAACATGGTAGATCTGTGGACCTTTCCTTTGCTTCCCCCAAGAAGGAGTGGTGTGTCTTCCAGTAAACACACAGGAGGCCTATTTCTGAAGGCTCATTACGAGCCTCTGTTTTATTCTTACAAATAGGGAATATGGGGATGGCATCACAGTAGACAGAGGAAATAATGCAGCAGATAAAGAATTAGTAGATACTGATAGTTGACTAGCAGGTTAGCGCTTAACGAGTTAAAACTGTAAGGGCTGCTAATAATTTACTGACTACTATACTGTTTAAGTTTTTGTTCTAATCCCAAAAGTACTGTGTTTATAAGATTTCACAAAATGTCTCGTTCCCCTCTTGTCTCGGTCCTGCGCGTAAAATTCATCACTTGGAATTGAGAAAGTGTCTCAACCTTGTGTTTTTAAAAAACGTTTAAGAGGTCGCGGAGCAACTCTGAACATTTCAAGCCCCTCATTTTCGGAAACCAGGACTCTGCCCAAGGTCACCCCGCTATCCCTGTTGTTTCAATTACGTCATTTGGGCATTTTTTACTCCGTTAACTTGTCTCCAATAATTCCTTAAGAGATGTTCAATTATTGTTCCTTAAGTAAAATATTTTAAGGAAGAATTGTAAAGTGAGGCATTTGGGAGATAGCAAATAAGGGGCCCTTAGAGAACCACACTTGTATGGAAATGAATAGATAATTTAGAAAGGGATGTGGACAAGAGAAGAACTTTATAGAATCTGAGCCATAGAGGAAATAATTATCGTGCTGGAGAATGGAAGAGGTACGGTGAAGAGGATGGGAGAGAGCTGGCCTAAAGGACCATAGGCGTTTGCTTATTCTGGCTTCGTTGTGTCAGACAGATTAGAAGAAAGAAGCCAAGTTGGAAGATGGAGGAGGGTAGAGTGGGGTGCAATAGTTCCCCCTATTCGCTGACCTGTGGCCAGCCTCCCTGAAGCTCGTAGGGTGCTGGCTGGGCAGGCGCCCAGCATTACCATGAAGTGTCAGTAGTGGGACAGGCTGGGCAGTCATGTGGGGCTTTGCTGCTCCCAACCTCTCCCCAGGTAAGGTTGTTACCCCTTCAGGTGGTAACAGCAGCACCTAGACAGGTCATATCAGGAGGGGGCCCCATGCTGTCCGTTGCCCAGCCTCAGCCCTACGGGCGCTTGTCACAGATATACCTGTGCTGGGGTGTGGAAGCAGCCAGATAGAATGTGGAGGGCCTCAGGCTCAGGGGATCTGGTCACAGGTGAGCTCGCTGCATCTGTTTTCAGAACTAGAGATCGGATTCCATGTTTGCCAATTTGGGGCTTAAGTGTAAAAATGACATAGCTTTTAAAAAATCTTACAGGAAAAATATATTTCCCATATGTTTCTTTTAAAAAGACTAAATATTACAGTTTCATCCCACTTTCTACTTTCCCTCCATGCTCAGAATGATTCAGCCAGGACAGCTTTCCTTCAGTTCTGAGGAGGGACTTGGCTCATCCCTTCCCTGTGCCTGGCCCCCTGTTCAGCCCCTCAGCCTGCTCCTTCCCCAGGTTTAGGCACGGAGTCTCTTCTTCACGGAAAGGTTCCCTGACCCCACACCCTCCAACCCACTGCCTTTGACCTCAGTCTAAATCCACCCATTAGTCTCAACATCATTGAGTATTTCAGTATGTTTGTTTCTTATCGCTTTCTCCGACTAGTCTGGAAAGCCAGACCCTGAAGGCAGCCCGGCTTGCTCTGTGTCCCCACAGCTAGTTCAGAGCAGGGCACCTTCGTAAGGGCCCTAGTAAATATTTGATGGATGAGTGAATTAAATTCTCAC